TCTTTACCGGCCACTACTGGATACACTCTGTGAGCTGTATTATACCTATTCTTAAAGTTATGTTACGATCCTGCCCCCACCACTGCGCGGTCCAGGTCGTTCCACTTCCTGACCATTCTAAGGCTGAAGAAATATTTCCTAATATCCCTGTTGACTTATTATTTTGAACTTCCAGCTGTTCCTTCATGTTCGTGTTTCTCATTCTTCTAACAATCTGTCCCTATCCAACGCATCATTTCCTCTCGCTTAGCGCTTCTTTTTGATTATAATAATAATAATCATTTCCTCTCGTATATATGTAACTATTATAATCTATTTAACCACGTTTAATATTTTACATTAATTTTTCTTAATAAAACAGTAAAGAGAACAGTTGAAGGGTTTAAATCAACTATATACTTATTTAAGAAATAATTAGATTCGTCAAAATTAAAATAAATTATCTTTTAAAATGTATAAAAACACACAAAAAAAACATACCATAAATAATATAAAACTTTTGTGCGGCCAATGAGAGCAAAATAAATGGTTATAACTTTAACCATACCATAATTTTTACAGGGGGTGGCCCGGTAAGCCAACGAAAAGCCTCGGTCAGATGACCAAAATCTCCAACGGTGCGTTAGGTAACACTTGTCCTGTCCTGACGAACCTTACCTAACCTAACCAATCAGAGCAATGAACAGTGAGAGGAGAGAGAATTATAAGCCGTCTGCCGGAATTACATTATAAAAGGAGCGTTTTTTTGCAGATCGTTGTTAAACTTTGAGGTGGGCGGTGAGAAACACTTATTAGCCCATTTAAACATATTGAAGTGGGAATAACAGCCATATTAACTATGGCATCAGTGGTTTATAGAGCTATTTTGGCTGTAGACGAGTAGTGTACATGAATCTTTCTGATGACAGATTGCAAAGTGGAAATTCCAACCTCTGTCTTTATAAGTTATTGTAAATATCTAGTAAGTGTTTTAGATATAAAGAGAAGTGCACTGTACCACGTGCATATATGTGGAACATTATACAAAATAACTTTCAGATGGTTAGCGTGGCAATAATAATAATCAACATGATAATAGTAACAATTATCATTATTTATCTAAATGATAAAGGCCCCTCCCCCCACACACACACAAGCAGGGATAACAGGGAAGGCACTACAAAGGATCAGGGAATACTTGTCAGGAAGACAGCAGCGAGTAATGGTAAGTGGCGAGGTGTCAGAGTGGGCACCTGTGACCAGCGGGGTCCCACAGGAGTCAGTCCTAGGACCAGTGCTGTTTCTGGTATTTGTGAACGACGTGACAGAAGGAATAAACTCTGAGGTGTCACTGTTTGCAGACGACGTGAAGTTGATGAGAAGAATTCATTCGATCGAAGACCAGGCAGAACTACAAAGGGATCTGGACAGGCTGCAGACCTGGTCCAGCAATTGGCTCCTGGAGTTCAATCCCACCAAGTGCAAAGTCATGAAGATTGGGGAAGGGCAAAGAAGACCGCAGACGGAGTACAGTCTAGGGGGCCAGAGACTACAAACCTCACTCAAGGAAAAAGATCTTGGGGTGAGTATAACACCAGGCACATCTCCTGAAGCGTACATCAACCAAATAACTGCTGCAACATATGGGCGCCTAGCAAACCTCAGAACAGCATTCCGACATCTTAATAAGGAATCGTTCAGGACCCTGTACACCGTGTACGTTAGGCCCATATTGGAATATGCGGCACCAGTTTGGAACCCACACCTAGCCAAGCACGTAAAGAAACTAGAGAAAGTGCAAAGGTTTGCAACAAGACTAGTTCCAGAGCTAAGAGGTATGTCCTACGAGGAGAGGTTAAGGGAAATCGACCTGACGACACTGGAAGACAGGAGAGATAGGGGGGACATGATAACGACATACAAAATACTGAGAGGAATTGACAAGGTGGACAAAGGCAGGATGTTCCAGAGATGGGACACAGCAAAAACGGGGCACAGTTGGCAGTTGAAGACACAGATGAATCACAGGGATGTTAAGAAGTATTAATTCAGCCACAGAGTAGTCAGGAAGTGGAATAGTTTGGGAAGCGATGTAGTGGAGGCAGGATCCATACATAGCTTTAAGCAGAGGTATGATAAAGCACACGGTTCAGGGAGAGTGACCTAGTAGCGACCAGTGAAGAGGCGGGGCCGGGAGCTAGGACTCGACCCCTGCAACCTCAACTAGGTGAGTACAACTAGGTGAGTACACACACACACACACACACACACACACACACACACACACACACACAGGTGTTTAAACCGTTGTGGGATCTGATAGTGAGGTGCCGGCCAGACCCCTTATACAGCTTCCTTGGATGCTTTACTTTCATAGTTCCTTGATAATGTGAGTAATCACGAAAGCGCTTGGAATTTCTCTATTCTTTCAGAGTGGTTGTTTTGCATATATATATATAATATATATATATATATATATATAATATATATATATATATAATATATATATAATATATATATATATATATATGTCGTGCCGAATATGTAAAACTTGCGATCTTGGCTTAAATAGCAAAGCTCATCTTGCCATATAAGACAAGCGAAAATTTGTGTATACAATAATTTCGCTAAAATCAATCTGAACCTAACGAAAAAAATATATTTCATTGCGTTTGTTTATTATTAAAATATTGTAAACGTATCTAAAATATATTTAGTTGGATTAGGCTAAAATAAATTGCGTTTGTTATAATAAGGTTAGGTAAGTTTTCTAAGATTCTTTTGGTGCAAATTATAAATTTTTGCATTAACATTATTGAAAAAAATGTCTTTAGACGTATAAGAGAAAATTTTAGAAAGGACTTAATTTTAAATGAGTTCTTGCTAATTGACCAGTTTTACATATTCGGCACGATATATAATATATATATATATATATATAATATATATATAATATATATATATAATATATATATATATATATATATATATATAAGGAATTCGCAAGAGCAGCGAAATATACACAAACACTGATCTCTGCTGAAGGAGACTCGAACCTACGAACCTTGGAACAAGGTACGCAGTGGTTTACCAATCTACCCACACTGGACCAATACCTTGGAGTCCAGCTTGCGCTAGACTTTGATCCAAGGCAGCCAGCTTTCAGGGAGAAGGCTTACAGTTTTTTATCTCATCCCCTGCATGCATCAGCCTTACTAGAGATGTTAACATTGCAAGGAATTCGCAAGAGCAGGCGAAATATAATATATATATATATATATATATATATATATATATATATATATATATATATATATATATATATATATATTATAATTACTTATTTTTCCAAGTTGAAAAATAAATTATTAATAGGTTTCCGTGAGATAATTTCTTCTCGAGACCTGGCAACACTGTGAGTGCAGTTCTGTATGAGGTACAAAGATAACCAGTCAGGAAATGTTTTACAGAGAGTGAGATAGCAGTGGGGAGAGCAGTAACTTCATCAACTCAGTGTCTTCTGAAACCGTACGTTCTTATATTATCTCCTTTAAATTGAAATGTTTATAACACTTGACTATATAAACACTTGATCACAATTGTTCTTAAAGTGTAAATATCAACGAACTTCAAAACTTCCCTAAGTCCCTTAGTATAAGTATAAGTAACTTAAATATCTGAAAGCTCTCCTAGGGTTTTGTTAACTTAAATGGCAGATCTCATTAAGGGTTTTCCCCAAAAAGTATCGCTTTACCCATGAAGAACGAATCTCTTTCCAATGGATAACTTAAGGGGTCATAAGCTTTTTTAAGTTTAGTAATTAAAATTTTTGGGGGGGAATGGGGGGTTAGTAAGGAAAATTTATAAAGGGAAAATAATAAAAAAACAATAAAGGGGCCTTTAAAATTTACTAAAAAAACCCAAAATTTTTAATTATTCAGTTTTTTAAAAGTTAAAATTCTAAAAAATTTTTTACACAAACCCAAAATTACAGTTGCCGGGGAAAATATAAACACCCCACTAAGGGAATATGATTTCCTGGGACTGGGAAATATAAAAAATTTTAAAAATTTTTCTAAGGGCCCTTTTAATTTATTAATTTTAAAATTTTCCCTTACCTGGCTAATAATCAAAGATTTCAGAAAGAAAAGGGCCACACTCTTGGGACATGGTTTTCGAGACCTTGATTTGTCCTTTTTCCTGACGAATTTTTCCCCTTAACCAAACCCTGGGAAACCTTGGCTCAGTAAAGGGGGGGTGGGTTGTACAAAAAAAAGGGTTTAATATTTTTTAGCTTAATCATCCCCCACCTGTCTTAGAAAAATCAAAAATTTATTTTGTATTATCTAAAATCAATAAAATATGATGTATTTTATTAATCATCAGATTTAAATTTTCCACAACATTTAAAATTTACTTTCCCTCAGTAAAATGAATGTTACTTTAAGTTTTAAGTCATTTAGCGAGCTCTAGTTATTAAACACGCCCGTAGTGAAAAAATTTAAACTTCTTTCAAAAGCTTAGTTTCCCTGTTTTTGCTTTTTAATCCAAAAAATCTGCGCTAAAAATTTTTCAAGGCGACCCATAAAAAAAAAAAAAATCTGGGGAAAAAAGGGGGGGGAAAAAGTGAATATTAAACACTTTTTCCCACCTTCCACTTTTAATTATTTCAATTTTTCTTCTTCAAACCTAAAATTCCAAGGGGGTTTAGGTTACAAAACTTTTTGTTTCCCCCTAAAACCTTTATCTTTAACAAAATTTGCTACAAAGACTCCCGTATTTTTCCCCTTTTTTTCCCCTGCCAGTAGTAAACAAAATTCATCCCTTTTCTTTTCTGAAATTTTTTCCCGAATGCAGTGAAGCGGATGCCCTGTAGGGGTTGTGGGGGGGCGGCGCCCCAAAACCCGGTGTCTTTTTCCCTTTCCCTCATTATGACACACATGAAAAGGCAAGCTAAACACCCCGGGGAGAAATCCCCTCATTGTTTGTTGACATTTTCCCAAAACCGTGCTTATGAAAACTAAATCTGTAGGGTTTAAAAAAAGGTCGAGTCCTAGCCCCCCGGGGGCCCTATCTCTCTTTTTGTCGTTTGACAACTTACTTCTTGGGCCCTCATAAATCCTATCGTCCCATGCTTTGGAGCTACCTCCCCCTTTCCTTTGGGAGATCTTTTCCCCTTTCCCAGACCACCCCGAGATAAAAAAAATTTTTTTTCCCTGACATAACCCCTGGTTCATTTGTATTTTTAATTTTCTTACCCCCATTCCCTTTTTCCTCCCCCCCTCTCCCCGGGCCCCCGTCTTTTTCTACCTCTCAATTCCTTGAATTTTTTTTTTTTTTTTTATCGTATTTCAACTGGTTTTTCTGCCCTCCAGTGTTGTCAGATTCAATTACTTTTACCGATACATTTTGGCACTGTCTTCCCATTTGAAAAGTTTTTATTTAATGTTAGTACTTATAAAAATTTAAAAAAAAAATATTTAAAAGATAAAAAATTTTAAACATGGGTTAACAAAAATATACAAAAACTTTTGGAATTTTTTTCCCGTGTGTGTGTGTGTGGGGTGTATGTGTGGTGGTGTGTGTGTGTGTTTTGGTCTGGTGTGTGTGTTCTGTGTGTTTTTGTGTTTTGTCTGGTGTGTGTGTGTGTGTGTGGGGTTTGGGTGTGGGGTGTTTTGTGTCTGTGTGTGTTGTGTTTTGGGGTGTGTGTGTGTTTGTGTGTTTTTTGTGTGTGTGTGTGTCTGTGTGTTGTGTTCTTTGTGTGTGTGTGTGTGTGTGGGGTGGTTGTGTGGGGTGTGTGTGGGGTGTGGTTGTTGTGGTGCCCTGTGGTGTGTGGTGTCGGGTGTGGGTGTGTCTGTGTGGGGTCTGTGTGTGTGTGTTGGTCTGTGTGTGTGTGTGTCTGGTGTGTGTGTGTCTGTGGGGTGTTTTTGGGGTGTGTGTGGTGTGTGTGTGGTGTGTGTGTGTTGTTTGTGGTGTGTGTGTACCACCTATTTTATTTCACCTAGTTGGGGTTTGGGGGGGTCGAGTCCGGTTCCTGGCCCCGCCCCCAAAAACTGATGCTACTGGGTCACTCCCCCCTGAGCCTGAGCTTTATGTACCTCTGCTTAAAGCTATGTATGGACCTGCCTCCACAAACATCGTTTTTCCCAAAACTTTCCACTTACTGCTATTCTGTGGGCTGAAGAAATATTTCCCAAACATCCCTGTGATTCATCGGGTGTTTTTAAAGTTTTCCAATTTGTGCCCCCTTTTTTCTGTGCCCAATCTCAAACATCCTTTTTTTTGCCCAACCTTGCAAATTCCTCTCAGTTTTTTGTATGTCTTTATCAGCCCCCCCCTATCTCTCCTGTCCCCCAGTGCGTCGGGTTTGATTTCCCTTAACCTCCCCTCGTAGGCTTTTCCTCTTAGTCGGGGGACAAGTTTTTTGGGAAAACCCTTTGCACTTTTTTAGTTTGTTACGTGCTTGGCTAGGTGTGGGTTCCAAACTGGGGGCCGCATACCCCAATATGGGCCTAACTTTATAGGGTGTACAGGGCCCTAAAACGATTCCTTTTAAAGATGTGGGAAATGCTGTTCTGAGGTTTGCTAGGCGCCCATATGTTTGAAAGCAGTTTTTTGGTTATGTGCCTTCAGGGATTTCCCCTGGTTTTTATACCCCCCCCCAAATTTTTTTTTCCTTGAGTGGGGTTTGTAGTTTTCTGACCCCCTAGATTTGAAACCTCCGTTTCCCGGCCCTTCTTTTCCCCTTCCCCAATCTTCTGACTTTGCACTTGGTGGGTTTAAAAACTCCGGCCAATTGCTGGACCAGTTCTGCAGCCTGCCCAAAACCCCCCTTTTGTATTTTCTGTGGTCTTCGATCGATTTGTATTTTCTCATCAACTTCACGTAAACTCAAACGGGGGAACCTCGGGAAGGTCTTTTCCCTTCCGTCATGTCGTTCACAAATTAACCAAAGAAAAAACACTGGTCCTGGGACTGACCCCTGCGGGCCCCCCGCGGGTCACGGTCCCCAAACTCTGCACCCCGCCACGTCCCAATACTCGTCTGTCTTCCGACAATTTTTTCCCTAAATCCATTGTAGTGCCTTCCCTGTTATCCCTGCTTGGTCCCATTTTTGCCCCAAAATTTTTGTGGGAAACCTGTGCCCAAAAGGGCCCTTTCTTGCAGCCCAAAGGGAAAATGAAATTCCCCCCCAACCCCCTCTCTCTCTTGTTTACGGGCTGTCCCATTTTCATAAAACCCTCCAGTAGGTTTGGACACGGTTTTCCCCCGTCCCGGGAAACCGCAGGGGCTTTTGTTGTTTGGGGAATCTTTCCCTTTTTCTAGGTTTCCCCCAAACTTTCTTCCTGATAACCTTCTCCATGATTTTGCATTACTTTTCATGTCGGGTGACACTGGTCTGTAGTTTAAGGGCTTCATGTCTGTCCCTTTTTTTTTAAAGTTTGGGGAAAAACATTTGCGGGTCTTTTTTTCCCTCAGGCAATTCCCTTTTTCGTTTAATGTTTTGAATTTGTTGTTGGGGGGTACACATGGGCCCTCTGCTCCCTCTCTCAATACCCATGGGAAAAGGTTATCTGGCCCCATTGCCTTTGGGGGTATCTAGCTCACTCAAAGCCTCTTCATTTTTCCCCCCCCCCTGGGTTGTGTGCACGTTTTCCAGCACTTGGGGTGCCCCCCCACCCCACTTTTCGGGAAAGCCCTTCTTTTCTCCTCGGGTGAACATTTTTTTTGAATCTCTTTTGAGCCCTTAACAAATTTCCCCGGGTCTTTTCCTGTTGCCCTCTCCCCTTTCCCTTCCCTTAGCCAAAATTACCTGGTCCTTAAACTGGTTTTCCCCCCTTTAAAGTGGTTTGTAAAACATTTTTCGGGTCGTTTTGGTTTTCGGGGCATTGTCATTTTCCATATTTTTTTTTGGGGCCCTCCCTTCTTATTTTGTGCATATTATTTCGGCTACGACTGTTCCCCTTTAATTCCCCGGGGCCCTTTTTCCTTCAAATATTTCTTCATTCCCTAGCACACGGGTTTTTTCCCTCCCTGCCCTTGGGTAAACCAGGGGGCTCATCCGGGCTTTTTCTTTCCCCTTCCTTTTAACCCTTGGGTAAAAAAACCTCTCCCAGCCTCCTGAAATTTTATTCCCTACAATTCCATCTTTCTCAAAAAAGGGTTTTCCCCTCCCAGTTCTCTGCCCCATTTAACCCCCGTTCAGGAGTTCCCTCATTCCTGTGTATCCCCTTTTTTGTATTTTTGGCTTCATTCGCCCTGGCCTTCCTGTTTTCTCCCCCCAAACTTTTTACCCTTTTCTGTGTTTTCGAAGTTTACAACCACGGGTTCATGGCCCCAAGGGTTTTTTCATATGTGATGCCCCTCGATATCTGCAAAACTGAAGGGTAAAAATACTAATCCAGCCTTGGGTTTTAACCTCTCCTCTTTTCCCTTGTATTTGCCCCTTTAAACTTTTTGGTACATGAAGTTCCCCATACCACCTCCATAATCTTACCCCTCCAAGTTTTCTTGGCCCCCATGGGGGT